CTCTGGAATTTATTTATTTTGCATATCTGAAACTTTTTACTCTCATATATTTTTTATTGGTATGAATTTTTATGCCAAATTGCCAGACATGCTGTGTGCCATGGTTTCTGATGCATATATCATTTGTATGCCAGTAAGCAAGTTGTTTATAAGTTGGACTTTGAAATCCCAAACTTATCAACTCACCTCCATTCCTGATCTTTCTCTGTAGCTTATTATTTCTGTGGGTGGGATGGTGGTGATGGTGGTGATGGTCATTATAGTGTTATGCATGCTGTGTGGTGAAAACACTTTACAACATGCCGTTATGATTTGTTTTTTCATCATTTGTTTTATTTTTATACCTCTGCTTATTACACTGAATGAGACAGCTACTAGCCGGGATGATAGCAGAGCCTGCTTTTCTCTCTGAGTATACTATCTTTGCTTTGGATTCCTCCATACAGCCTAAAACACAGAATGACAGTGTGGTGAGTCCTTCCACCGCTTTCCGCATTCCCTTTGTGGAGAAGCAAAGTAATTTGACAATTGTAGACGCAAATCTCGTGTTGCTCATCACTTACCATCTTTTAAAGCATCTTCAGTGTCTTGTTGCTAACCTTGCGCTAAAATATCAGAGAGTAAATTGCTGAATTCTGATGGCTGGTGTGCTTCCTGGTGGCTTTTTAACAGCAACAAAATAACAGTTTTCACTAATGTGTACAGTGAAGGCTACCTTCACTTCATCTAAACTCTTAAGTTTTCTCCCTAGGGAATGTTTGCTTGTTAACTAAAAAAAAGGTATGCAATGCTAGAAATCTCTGTTCTACTATTAGTAGGAGGCCAAGAATATTTTGAGATGTGGCTCATATTTTTCAGGGGGAAAATTTATTGTTAGGTAAATCCATAATTAAACAACATTGAAAAGGTAGATGAATTCTACTGTAACAAATAATTGCATCTTATTTTACAATTATGTTTTTTGTGTTAAACATCTGAAAGGAAATAATTGTCTCATTTGTTTTCAACTGATTGAATTCACAGTTTTGAATCTTGTATGTAATTTCATTTTGGGAAAGTGGACATTTTCCTATTTAAAGTATCTGGTAAGTTCATAATTTAGCAAATTAAAATTTAGAGATGTTTGCCAAGGAAGGCTAGCTTTTGGTGTTAGATTGGACACTGACTGAACTGGGATTGAGGTTTTTCTAAACTGTAAGAATTGATTTAACCTATTAGGTAGCTGGTGATGAAAGAATATTTCTTAAACCATGTAGGCAATAAAGACTTGGTATGTGTATGGCCAGTAGCAATCTTTTTTTTTAACCCTGCCGGTAGCAATCTTAAATTACATTCTAAACTTGGTTTTAGGAAAGAAAGCAGCTACAGTGAAAATGAGATTTCTAGTGATGCCTTAGCTTTATGCTCCATGTAGTAGTAATAGAAAATGTTTTTTTAAAAAAGAAAAACTTCTCCTAGTCCCACTTCTTTAAGTACATAAAAGCCATTTGTATTGAGTATCTATTTTGTTGTAGAAAATGCTGTTAGCATAAAAGTTGATGTTTTAGAACTATTTAAAAATAATTTAAGAAGAGTAGAAGTCTTCTTATTTAAATTTTGATTTTTTTTGACAAAAACTATTTCTCCTCATGGAACAAAGGGAAACCTATATCAGAATAAAAAATTAGTGAGCATTTCATTCCATTATGAGTTCACCAGTTGCTGACTTTTCCTTAATTCAGTTTTTAAAAAATGCATCTCTTTACCCCAGTGCTAAAAATTGCCTTCTCCTTAGTGCTCAGCATAAAATTGTAGTTGAAAGATTGAAACAAAAATGTAATTAAAGACAAATCTGGCAGGGAACTTGTGTGTGCTTTTAAGTTAAATATACTTTAAAAAGGTTTTCTGTTTGTCTAAGAATTTCCTCCAATAGAAAGTATTGGTGATTTTTGAGTATTGACAGGTATTGAGCTAGTTCTTCAGGCTTGTCTCTGAGAGAAGGACTTCAGAGGCTTATTCTGAGGGAAATGACTGCACAAGGACTTCTGAAATGTTTGAAATGGCAGAGAACAGGAAGGTAAAAGTTAATTCATATAGGCAAAATGTTAGGTTCTGGGGACCAAGATGAAAATGCAGGGTCCTGTCCTCTGAGAGTTTGTAGTTTAATATACAGACAAAGATGTCAACATACAATTAGAGTACAAAGGAATTAAGGATTCATAGAAGAAAATGAAGGCATAGGGAATGTGCCAGTCCCCCAGGCAAGTCATGTTTGAAAGTTGAAAGATGAACAAGAGTTTGGTTGGCAGAAATGGAGAAGGCATTATGGATTGTGACAAAATCTCTAATTTTGCATCTGGAGATTCCTAATTTAAATTTACAGGGTAGATTGGGACAATACGTTCCTTAGTTGTCCAGAATTTATTTAGATATATGATGTAATACATAAACTGAAATATATATGTGGGGAGCAGAAGTGTTTAAGTGTTGTTCTGTGTGTGTTTGATAGGGTACCATTTCAAACACTCAGAGCAGCTTTTTTGTATGTACTGCAGCCATGTGTCAAGTCATTTATGTAGTAATAGAATATGGACTTTCTTGTCACTCTTCCTCTTAACCTGAATATTTTGTGGAGCTATTTTCTTTCTCCATAATTTAATTGTCTATTACTTTTCAGTATACTGACTGGCTGGAGAAGTGTCGATTTCTGTAAAGTATATTTTGTATTTTATACTGTGAAGTGTAGTATATTTGTAGAGCTAGAAAGCATTCATTGTGATGTTGCACAGATATATGCCATGTGTATAATTTGAAATGGCAGAGAACAGGAAGGTAAAAGTTAATTCCTATGTGCTCCCGATCTTTCTTCCCTATATAACTTTAAGGAGATATCTGAGACTGGAAAAATTTGATAACTTTATTTTAGAGGGAAGAAAAGTTACTTAAAATTTATTTATTTATTTATTTGTTTATTTATCGATTGATTGAAGACATGGAGTCTCACTCTTGCTCAGGCTGCTCTTGAACTCCTGACCTAAAGCAATCCTCCTGCTTTGGCCTCCCAGAGTGCTAGGATTACAGATGTGAACCACTGTGTCCAGCCCAAATTTATTTTTATTAGAGAAAAGTTCAAACATATTACGAAAGTGGAAATAGTTGCGGTAGTGGTATAAGACTTCCCTCCCCACCAATATCCATTACCCAATATCAACAATTAATAACTCACTGTCATCTTGTTTTATTTATTACCACCCTTCCCCTACATTTCCCTAACCACATCACTACTACCCTCCCTATATACACAGCTCCCCCTGCCCTCCCCCATTAGATATTTGAAGCAAATTTAAGAAATCCTATTCCATCCGTAAACATTTTGGTGTATGTCTCTAAAAGATAAAGACTAAAAATATATAACCACAGTACATTTATCACACCTAAAAATTAATGATCTCTTACTATCAAATACCTAATCAATGTTCAAGAATTTGAGAACACATTTGCAAAGCTGAGTTCCTTCTCCACTTTTATTTAAGAATTAGTGGCTCAGCCAGGCGCAGTGGCTCACACCTGTGATTCTAGCGCTCTGGGAGGCTGAGACAGGTGGATCAGTTGGGGTCAGAAAATTGAAACCAGTCTGAGCAAGAGCAATGCTCGTCTCTACTAAAAATAGAAAAAATTAGTTGGCCGTGGTGGCGTGTGCGTGTAGTCCCAGCTACTTGGAAGGCTGAGACAGGAGGATCACTTGAGCCCAGGAATTTGAGGCCGCAGTGAGCTGATGATACCACTGCACTCTAGCCAGGACGATAGAGTGAGACTCTGTCTCAAAACAAAACAAAACAAAAAAACAGAGTTAGTGGTACATGCTGGTAATCGAAGCACTTTGGGAGGCCAAGGCGGAAGGATCACTTGAGCCAGGAGTTTGAGACCAGTCTGGGCAACATAGTGAGACCCTGTCGCTACCAAAAAAAGAAAAAATTAGCCAGATGTGGTGATGGGTCCCTGTAGTCCCAGCTACTCAGGAGGCTGAGGTAACAGGATCACTGGAGCCCAGGAGTTTGAGGTTGCAGTGAGCTACGATCACACTACTGTACTCTAGCCAGGGCAACAAAGCAAGACACTGTCTCAAAAAAAAAAAAGAATTAGTTAGGTCAGATATTTGACCTTTTCTTGGTCAGCTCTATAGAAGTAAGGAGAAATGCACTATTTAACTACCAAGTTACTAAAACATAGTGACTAGTATTTGGTGGAATGCTTTTGTTTAAAACATGGAAGTTATTTTATCGTGAGCTATTTCTATAACTCTAATTTTAGTTAGACATTTAGTATATCATAAATGCAATATAGAATTTTGAATCTCAAAGAATCTCATTCATTATCATGAAATCTATGCCAGGATGATGTAATCAGTAGAATGTTGCTTAACTTGGAGCTTTTGCCCTATCAATAGAACAAAACAAAAATCTTTCACATGTGGAAGAAGAGATTTTTAATTATAAGTTTTTATGAAAATTATCACAACGATTTCATTTAGATTGCTGGCTTCAAATGAATGAGGCATTTCCATTTCTTCTTATCAAGATAGTTTTCAGAGCTTAGCCCAAATAAGTTTAATTTGATATTATTTTATTCTAGGGAAAAATTGACATTATTTCTTTTTCTGGATAGTTTTCTTATTTGAATGAGATTTGCTAATTGAATCCTTGATGTTGATTTTTATTGTGGGGGAAAATATCTAGGCACATAACAGGAAGAGGTATGTGATTAGCTTGAAATTGATTGTGCTACATACTAATATTTGCTGTTTAGTTCTATATATTATGAAAAAATGATTTTTCTGAAATACTTACCATACTACAGCAGTTTTGCCTTGCATGAAAACATTCTAATAAACAGACAATTACTAATTTTGTTTAATAGATAAATGTATATAATAGGTCTTAGTACTTAGAGTTTGTTCTTAACAGTTTTAAAGCTTTAGTTTTTTGTTCCTTTTCTTTATGATATATTTTTCTTTTTCTTAGAATGCATCTACCCAGGCTACAAAATCTCCTGACAGTGTTAATGGAAGTGAACCAACTACTCCTCAGGTCTGTTACTAATATTTTAAAAATTAAGTCATTTCAGAATGTTGGTCAGTCTATATTATTAGCATTCGACTTTACATTGAAACGATAATAGCTAAACATTTGATACAACATGTATGATAAATACAGGTTTGTTCATGGTTTCTTGGAAAAAATTTTAAATGAAAGCAAGATTTTATTATTTTTCATTTAATACATTTATGACCGTGAAGTGAAAATATTTTGAAAAAATGAAATCTGACTTTATAGTTGTAAAAGATTATAGAGGTAGCCATATTGAGAAACATGTTTTGAGTTATGTAATCTTGGAAGGGTAATATGAGGGAGTGGGATTTCTTTTAAAGTTTGCTGTAATGCAGAATATTCTGCTACTAGAGAATTGAGAATTTTTTTTTTTTTTTTTGAGACAGGGTCTTGCTCTGTAGCCTGGGATAGAGTGCAGTGATGTGATCATAGCTCACTGCAACCTCAAACGCCTGGACTCAAGCAATCCTCCTGCCTCAGCCTTCCGAGTAGCTAGGACTACAGGTGTGCACCACCACGCCTAGCTAATTTTTCTATTTTTTGTAGAAACAGGATCTCACTCTTGCTCAGGCTGGTCTCAAACTCCTATTCTCAAGTGATCCTCCTACCTCGGCCTCCCAAAGTGCTAGGATTATAGGTGTGAGCCACCAGGCCTGGTCAGAATCTTTGATTTAAAAAAGTTATTTGGAGGCTGGGGCTTGAGTGACATTCTTTTGAACCCTTCCAGGAAAGAAAGAACAAAATCATAATGATATCAGTGTCTGAGATGAACATCTGTTTACTTTGCTTTTAGTAATGACTCTTATCATAATCATAACTGCTCTCAGTAGTCTCCGTTGTAGAACAGTAATGTTTCTAATTCTGTGAACACAGGGCATGAATTTAGACGATTTGTAAGCTAAATGATTTGCAAACTAAATTACATAACATCCTGAAACATTGTCTAGCAAATGTGTAAATTACAACTTCTCAAACTCCGTGGACGAGTGACCTGCGAGCTTACATCCTCGTATCTTTCAGTGGGGCCGGTTAGGTTGTAGGGACAACCAGAGTCCCTGGGCTCGTTCTTTGGCCTTAGTAAATCCTATGACCTCTACAAATACATCATTTTTCTATAAGTGCCTTGAGGTGGGGGTAAAATATTGAGAGGCACCAATCTAAACAGTACTATACTGCCGCAGTCCTCGACCCCTGGACCGAGGACTGGTGCTGGTCTGTGACCTGTTAGAAACCAGGCTGCACAGCAGGAAGTGAGTGGTGGGCAGGCAAGCAAGCAAGCGAAGCTTCATCTGTATTTACAGCTGCTCCCCATTGCTTGTATCACCACCTGAGCTCTGCCTCCTGCTAAATCAGGTATTAGGTTCTGCATTATGGTGAGTTATATAATTATGTCATTATATATTATAATGTAATAATAATAGAAATAAAGTGCACAGTAAACGTAACGCCCCCGATTCATCCCCAAACCATCCCCATCCTCCAATCCGTGGAAAAATTATCTTCCTTGAAACTTGTCCCTGGTGCCAAAAAGGTTAGGAACTGTTGCTATACTGAGTGTATCTAGTGATCTTTAAAGAATAGTATTAAAAAATATTATTTAAAGTGCTTATTTTCTTCTCTTATAGTCCAAAAAGACTAAATATAGTTATGAATACAAGAACTAGAATGAATGATAATCAGCTTTATAACAAATTCAGAAGAGTTTTAATTAAGGTGAAGAATTAATGTGGGTGATATTCAGGAAGTAAGCTCACTAAGGCTTAAAAATAATTACAAATATTTTCTTAAAAAATAAAGAATAGCATTTAATGAGTGTTTACTGTGTGTTAGGCATTATGTTAAGTATTTTCCATATATGATCTCATTAATTTTTATAACAAGGAGATACCTTTACTCAGAGTTTACTTTTATTTTAAACAGCTTTCTGACAAGTTGGTTGTTGGGTTTAGCAAATTATGAACAATGTATATACATGAAGTGGGTAGAATGCTTACTGTGGTTGAGCATACTGATAGCAGGAAATCATAGTTGACACCAGGGTAAAAAACATGGCAAAAAGCAAGCCCTAGAGTTCATAAAATATAGCAGCTTGTGGACCCTCTTATTACTGGGGCAAAATACCCATACAGATTGAACATCCCTAATTTGAAAATCTGAAATACTCCAAACTCTGAAACTTTTTGAGTGCTGACATGATGCCACAAGTAGAAAATTCCACATGTGACCTTATGTGATGTGTCTCAGTCCAAATGTACAGTTCATTCAGCAGGTACAATGTACAGTTTCATTAGCATCCCCAAGGGAAAAAAGACTCTCCCAGTACCCTTTGAGTGCAGTATTACCTTTTTCATTAACACCCAGATTCCCCCCCACAAGCAGACCCACAAAGGGTAATAAAATTGAGTGTGTGCAGGCTGGATGTGTCAGTGGTAAGTTCCCCATGATATCCCACATGGGGCTAAGACCTATGTGCATTACTCATTGGTTTTTTTGCTTATTCTCTGCTCTGTGGTGTAAAGATACTGTTGAAAATGTCAAAAAAGCCTGCAGATACCTCTATGGGTAGCAGTGATAGGAAAACAAGGAAGCATTTATGTTTTTCTATAGCACAGAAAATCAAACTGTTGGAGAAACTGGACAGCAGTGTCAGTGTGAAGCATTTTACTGAAGAGAATGGTGTTAGAGTGACCACTATATATGACCTGAATAAGCAGAAGGATAAACTATTGAAGTTCTATACTGAAAATGATAAACAGAAGTTAATTAGAATTGGAAAACACCGTATAAATCTAAAAATGAGGATCTCAATCATGTATTGAAATTTGGATCTGTCAGTGTTGCAGTGAACACAGGCCACTTAAATATGGCATGAAATAAGCAAAGATCTATCACAGTGAACTGAAAGTTGAAGGGAACTTTGAATGTTCAACAGGCTGGTTGCAGAAATTCAAGAAAGATGTGGCATTAAATTTTTAAAGATTTGTAGTGATAAAGCATCTGCTAATGATGAAAAACAGTGGAGTTCATTGACAAGTTTGGCAAGGTCATTGCTAGTCTGTAATACTAATCAAACATCACTTTTGTGGCCTTATTACTCTAGAGAAACACTGATTACAGCTGATGAGACAGCCCCTCCAGGAATTTAGGATGCCAAGGACAGAATAACTATGCTGGGATGTGCTAATGCAGCAGTTACACATAAGTGAAAATTTGCTGTGATAGGCAAAAGCTTGCATTTTCACAGTTTTCAAGGGATGAATTTCTTACCAGTCCATTATTATGCTAACAAAATGCATGAATCACTAGGGACATCTTTTCTGATTTTTTTCATAAACATTTTGTACCGTTGGTTTATGCTCACTGCAAGGAAGCTGGACTGGATGACAACTGCAGAATTTTGTTATGCCTTGACAACTGCTCTGCTCATGCCCCAGCTGAAATTCTCATCAAAAATAATGTTTGTGCATGTATTTTCCTCCAGACGAGACTGCCTTAATTCAGTCATGTGACCAGGGTATCCTTAGATCAATGAAGAGTAAATATAAAAACTTTCTTGAATACGATGCTAGTAGCAGTGAACAGAGGTGTGGGTGAGAAAGGGTTTCCAAGGGAGTTTAGCGTGAAGGATGCTGTTGCCAATATTTGGAACACAGTGACTAAAGACACAGTTGTGCATGCCTGGCACAACCTCTGACATGAGATGGTTTAATGATGATAATGAATGAGATAGTGACTAATGATTCCATATGTTAAGTGAGAAAAAAATGATGTCTGACCTTACATTTGTTTAAAAAAAAAAATACCCTCAGAGTCCCTCAGTAGGCTGGAAGAAGTGCATATCGAAGAAGTTTTTAACATTGGTAATGAGACTCCAGTTGTTCATTCACTGACCGACAATGAAGTAGCTGAAATGGTTCTGAATCAAGGTCATCATGGTAATAGTGACAATGAGGATGATGTTATCACTGCAGAAAAAGTGCCTATAGACGACATGGTGAAAATGTGTGATAGGCTTATTGAAGGACTAGGAAAAAAAAAGAAAGAAAGAAAAACCACTCAAAATCCTACCACTCAGAGAGAACCACTGTTAATTTTTGGTGTCTGTCTTTCACAACTTGGTTTTAAGGGTATACGTATAAATATACATATAATTTGAAAAGTATGTATAATTACCTTAAGTCAAAATGAGTTTACAGTATACATATTGTTTTATAACTTGATTTTTTCCCCATTTAATTGTATGTCTTGAACTTCTTTTCATGTACTATAATTTATATAATGTGTCCTCTAGTGGTGAACATTTGGGTTGTTTCCTGTTTTTACTATTATAAACAACCTATGATAAATCTGTGTGCGTAGAAGGGCATGGGGCATGTTCCCTCTTACTTACTCCCACATTGCCCAGTACTATTATTAAATCTCTAAAATTCATGAATAAAACATCTCCGTTTTGATTTTTTAAACTGTATACTAAAGAGAATCTTTTTGTTTTCTTGTAAGTTTTGCCTACACATGACCTCAGTCTCCCCTGAGCATTTCACTCTTGGCATCTTTGAGATCTTATAGGTGACCCTGTTGCACTAATGAGAATGAGTTTCTAGGAAACACCTGTTAAACACTGACTGTTGTAACCCGAGCAAAATAATAGTACTTACAACAGTCGAATTATGTTGTATTTTTCATTGTTATTATGCAAATTAATGCGTTGTTATTCAAATTGATTAAGAGAACAGCTCTTGCTTATCACTATTTCTAGCATCTGTGCAGAGGGATTCTACCTCAGACCTTTCAACTCCTCCTCCAAGATGTGTTAATGCTTATCTTTATTCCCAGTAGACAGAATAGTAAGTGGAATAGAATTGGATGTCGCTAGTCAACTCTGCTGCATATTCCCTTATAAACCAAAGTGGGCTCATTATATATTACCTCCTTCCTGCCCCCATTCCTCTTTTTTGTTGAGAAGAATGATCAGAAATAATCACCTACATAAAGACTCTCCAGATATAGGCCACTTGAGTTCAGCCATGCACTTCACACTTCACAGTAGGCTCTGGGTATAGACTGGTGATAGAGATGGTGTACACAGTTGGTCTCTGCCTTCATGGATCTTACAGTTGAGTGGATGAATCCCCACAACACATCCATGAGGTCAGCTGGGAAAGTATGACTTCCTTCTTTTTTACAGATGTGCAAACTGAAGGAAAGTGACTTAGTGAAGGTCATTTTACCTCTAGCTGACAGACCTGGGACTTATACCCCAGTCCTCTGACTCCAGTGCTTTTTCAGAAATAACCAGCTGTCTTTTGTTTTTCAGGAAATGATATATTATGTAAAATGTCAGGAATATAAATTGAATCTGTTAGAGCTTTTAATAGATTATTGCTGGTGAAAGGGGATAATGGAAGTCTAAATGTGTGTTTTTAACCCACGTATTCTGTTCGGTTTTGGTTGCAGTCAGGTGACACACAGTCTTTTGCTCAGAAGATCCAGCTCCGGGTCCCTTCCATGGAGTCTTTGTTTCTAAGTCCGATAAAGGAATCTCTATTCCGATCTTCTTCTAAAGAGTCTTTGGTACGAACGTCTTCCAGAGAGTCCCTGAATCGACTTGACCTAGACTTTTCTGCTGCCACCTTTGATCCACCCTCTGATATGGATAGCGAGGCCGAAGACTCCCAAGGGAATTCAGACAGTCTCAGTAAAGAACAGTTGATTCACCGGTTGCAAAGAATGGAACGAAGCTTAAGTAGCTACAGAAGAAAATATTCTGAGGTAGGAACATGACCTTTTTGCGTTTACAGAAATTTCTTCCCTTGTTTTCTCATTCATATTACTGTATTGCTTTTACTCCTGTGATTGGCTAGTTTTGATTCCCTAGATACCCTGGTTACTAATGGTAGGTAGTCTGTGAAAATATTTAGACTTTCAGTGGTACAGAGGCCTTTGCCAAGACTCTTGGTAAAATTTTGGAAGAGATTGTTGTCTGTAGTATTTTGGTTCTCACATTCTGGGGCTGTCTCCTCTCCTAGCCTCTCTCTCCAGGTCACTTAGACACCTAGTGCAGAATTCATCCTCTTTCCTCCTCACGTCCCCTCCCTTATTCATCTCTAAGCATTATAGTTAATTAATGAATAATGAAGTTCAGAGTTGGTATATAAATTTAGCCATAGGAATAGTTTTACCCTATGGCCAAAAACAAAACAAAACAAAACCCTAGATGAAATATACAAAATATCTTTTTAAAAAAATAAAGTGCTCACAAAATAAGAAGAAATTATCAGGCTAAAATCTACAGGCTGGCTGGAACCCAGAGATATAAACAGGACATTGAAACCATTTATCTCATGAGGCACTTGTAGAATCTGGCAACTTTTTCCTTTTAAAATTTTTGCTTTTATATTTTATTTCTACCAAAGTTAATAATGGTCTTGAATCTTTTTGTTCGTTTACATTATTTCACTGATTAGGCATGGCTTTTAAGTTTGAAACTGGGGCAGCAGTATAACTGGTATTTAAGTATGCCAGACACAGTGTATTTTATATGTATAATGTCATTTAATTTTGTATCATCCTTGTGAGGTAGATATTAATTAGCTCTATTATGTAGAAAAGGGATTGGAGACTCCTAGTAACTTGCTTAAGTTGCATGTTAACTTGCTTAAGGTCACACAGGCAGCAACTGGCAGAGTCTGGATTTGATTCTAGGTCCTTCTGGTGGTTTCTCCTATTCCTTGCTACCTGAGATAGAGTCAAGAGGCTTATCTGGATGAAAAGAGCCCATAGCCTTGGACTCTGCCTCTCCACTGTGGGTACCTAGGATGAAATAGTGCTGTGACATCTGATTCTTCAGTTATGCTTCCACCCCACCATTTTGGGTACTCTTTTGCTATTTGGTCTTAAGGTAAGGGGAGGATCCAGGTCTTAGGCAGGGTTTTTTTTGTTTGTTTGTTTTTTTGTTTTTCGAGACAGGTCTCTTTCACTCAGGCTGGAGTGCAGTGGCATGATGATAGCTCACTGCAGCCTTGAATTCCTGGATTCAAGGGGTCTTCTCTTCCTTAGCCTCCCCAGTAGCTAGGACTACAGGCATGTGCCACTATGCCTGGCTAACTTTTCTTATTTTTTTGTAGAGACAGGGTCTTGCTGTGTTGCCCAGGCTGGTCTCAAACTCCCGGCCTTAAATCATCCTCCTTCCCCAGCCTCCCAAAGTGCTGAGATTACAGGCCAGAGCCACTGTGCTTGGCCAGAATTTTGTTTTTTTGTATTCTTATCTCTGTTGCTAGACTCACCTTCCATTGCTGCCTGCCTCTTGACTCAAGACATCAGTAGTGGCATTTGGGGGCACACAGCAGCCTTCCAAGGTAAATGGCAATGCTCAGAATAAAGGGGTGCTTCCATTTATTTTATTTATTTATTTTTTTGAGACAGAGTCTCACTGTGTTGCCCGGGCTAGAGTGCCGTGGCGTCATCCTAGCTCACAGCAACCTCAAAC